CTCGCTCTTGCCCAGGCTGGTCTTGAACTCCTGACCTCGAGCGATCCTCCTGCCTCAGCCTCTCAAGTAGCTGGGACTACAAGCATGTGCCAGCATGCCCGGCTAGTTTTTTCTATATATTTTTAGTTGTCCGGCTAATTTCTTTCTATTTATAGTAGAGATGGGGTCTCGCTATGTTGCCCAGGCTGGCCTCGAACTCCTGACCTCGAGCGATCCTCCCACCTCGGCCTCCCAGGGTGCTGGGATTTCCATGAGGCTGGGGCTTGAGGCCGGATGGCATAGAGCCCTGCAGGGGGGCACGTGAGGAGCAGTGACGTGGGTCTCAGCCTGTTTGCCAGTCTCTGTCGCAAGAGCCACCAGCCCTGGCACCCACAGGGACGCTGGGCCCACACAGCCGAGGCTACTCCACCGCCTGGGTTCCTTAAGGATTTTTCAAGAGTAATTCCGACTACCCAGGTCTCATATAGAATCCAAATACCTGCTACCTGGGCCCTGCTTCGCAGACGTGGCGGTTGGAGCTTTCGAGAAGGCAAGTGACTGTCACCCGTGACTGTACAGCCAACGGGTGGCAGAGGACAAACCCGCGTCCCAGTGCCCGGGCCCCTAACCACCAGGCCACACAGCCCGTCCTTCCCGATGGGGACCCAGCCTCCTCTCTCCACGATCCCGACCCTACTGTCTACTTTCCACCTGGGAATCAAGCCAGGCTCTGTGTGAGTCCTGTCCCCTCCCCTGTCTTGCCTCTGCTTCTGTCCCCGCTCCGCCCAGAACACCTGCCCGAGCGTCACCCACCCTGGTCCCTTCGCCCACGCGACCCACACCGAGAGCTCACGGCCACCGCCGGGACTTCCGTCTGTCCACACAGCACAGGACTCGGCGTGGGGACAGCTTGACAAATCTTAGCTGGTCTGGACTGAGCAAATATGCATCCATGCCCCCAGCAATCTGCTCCTTTTCTAGAAGATTCCCTTTGCTCTTGGCATGCACGCCTATCTAGAAGGGTGTCATCAGATCCTGCAAGCTGCGGGGGAATGACTCGTGGGGACAGCTTGACAAATCTTAGCTGGTCTGGACTGAGCAAATATGCATTCATGCCCCCAGCAATCTGCTCCTTTTCTAGAAGATTCCCCTTGCTACTGGCATGCACACCTATCTAGGAGGGCCTCGCCCGGCCCTGCAAGCTGCAGGAGAATGAATGACATGTGGGCTCCACGCAGCTGGCCCTCTGTCTTCTCACGCCTGCGGAGACCCCGGGCATGGGAAGTGACATCGAGGGACACAGCCAGCAAGCTAAGCGCACACGGGACTCGAACCCTCTGCGGCCCCATCCGGCACCGACAAGCTGCCTTTGTTCCAGCCCTTGCTCCAGGAGCCCAGGCTCGCGACGGGAGGGGACCCTCTGCGGCACAGACGGCTCCGGGGACTTCTAAGGAGACCCCGGAGGTCACGGGGACAAGACTCGCCACACTGAGAACCCGGCCATGGCTGAGGACCGGGGGTCGGCACCCTGGAAGTGACCGGTGCCTGACAGCGGCCCTCGGCTCCTCCCGCCTCTGTGGCCAACTTTGATCAGACGACAGGAAGTGACACGCAAGTGGCCCAAGTTGGTTTTCTTTTCTTTTTTGCAGAATCCCAAGTATCTGCCCCAGAATGAATCAAACACTGTCCCCTCCTCATTCCCACGAACCGAGGGGGGAAAACCACTCTGAGAGCAGAGGGACGCGGCGAGCGAGTGGGCGGGAAACACAGGACAAAAAAAAAAGAAAAAATCGAGGCTCACAAATGACCCTCTGTGTGTCCCCATCTATCGGAGCCATTCATCCCGTCGCCCTGAGCGCAGATCCTTGCAAACTCTGCAGAAAAACAGGGTTAAAGCTTCTCAGGACTTTGAAAAAAAAAAAAA